CATCCATTAGAAGTGATCATGGGGGAGAATTTGATCAAGACGGCTTTGATGTCGTTTGTGACGAATTAGGCATTGAGCATAATTTTTCAGCCCCCCGTACACCACAACAAAATGGCGTGGTTGAACGGAAAAATAGGTCTCTTGAAGAGATGGCTAGAACTATGCTCAATGAGGCAAACCTTCCTAAATATTTTTGGGCGGATGCCGTGAGTACCGCGTGCTACGTGTTAAACCGAGCTGTCATTAGACTGATACTCAAGAAAACGCCCTATAAACTTTACAAAGGAAGAAAGCCTAACCTTTCCTATTTTCATGTCTTTGGATGTAAAGTTTTTATTCATAATAATGGAAAAGATAACTTGGGAAAATTTGATGCCAAGTCGGATGAAGGAATTTTCTTAGGTTATTCTCTTCGTAGTAAGGCATATAGAGTGTTCAACAAGCGTACTAAGACCGTAGAGGAGCCTATTCATGTTGTCTTTGATGAATTTGATGCTCGCTTGGCGAGAAAAGGTGTTGTTGAAAATGTTGCAGGTTCTTATGACGATGAAGAAGAAATTGTTAAGGAAAAGGAACCGGTAGAAGAGAAAACGCAGGAGCAAACGGAGCTTCCTAAGGAGTGGAGAACGTTGAAGAATCACCCAATTGACAATGTCATTGGTGACATAACGCAGGGAGTTTCTACTCGTAATTCTCTTAGGAACACAATTAATCACATGGCCTTTGTTTCTCAAATTGAACCAACAACCGTTTTGGATGCTATTAATGATGAACATTGGTCTATGGCAATGCAAGAGGAGCTTAACCAATTTAAACACAACGATGTTTGGGAGTTGGTGCCTAGACCTAATGATCATTCCGTTATTGGCACAAAATGGGTGTTTCGTAACAAACTCGATGAAAATGGAGTAATCACTAGAAACAAAGCTAGGCTTGTAGCTAAGGGCTACAATCAAGAAGAAGGCATTGATTATGAAGAAACTTATGCACCGGTTGCACGTTTAGAAGCTATTCGTTTATTACTTGCATTTGCATCTACGATGGATTTTAAACTTTATCAAATGGATGTTAAAAGTGCCTTCCTTAATAGTATCATTCAAGAGGAAGTGTATGTCGAACAACCCCCGGGTTTCAAAGACTATGAGTTTCCCGAACATGTCTTCAAACTCAAAAAGGCGCTTTACGGTCTCAAACAAGCACCTCGTGCTTGGTATGAACATTTAAGCAAATTTCTTTTGGACCATGAGTTCAAACGGGGTCAAGTCGACACTACTCTTTTCATCAAGAAAGATAACCAAGACATCCTTTTGGTTCAAGTTTACGTAGATGATATCATATTTGGTGCTACTAACGAGGTTTTGTGCAGGGATTTTTCCGATATGATGCAAAGTGAATTTGAAATGTCGATGATGGGAGAATTAAAGTTCTTCCTTGGGCTACAAATTAGACAATGCAAAGAAGGGACATTCGTGTGTCAAACGAAATATTGCAGGGAATTGCTTAAGAGATTCGATGTTACCGAATCCAAATCCATTGACACACCGATGAGCACCTCTTGCTATCTCGACAAGGATGAAAAAGGTAAAGAGGTAGACATCACGCGCTACCGAGGTATGATCGGCTCTTTACTTTATCTTACCGCGAATAGACTGGATATCATGTACTCCGTTGGTATATGCGCTAGATATCAATCATCTCCTAAAGAGTCGCACTTGGTTGCGATCAAAAGGATAATTCGATATCTCGCGGGCACGTTGAACGTAGGTCTTTGGTATCCCAAAGGTTCGACATGTCATCTTGTTGGCTATTCCGACTCGGATTTTCCAGGTTGCAAACTCGATAGGAAAAGTACCAGCGGTACTTGCCACTTATTCGGTCATTCGTTAATCTCGTGGTTTAGTAAGAAGCAGGTTAGTGTTGCACTTTCCACCACCGAAGCGGAATATATCGCTGCGGGAAGTTGTTGTGCCCAAATTCTTTGGCTAAAACAGCAACTAGTGGATTTCGGCCTTATACTTGATCACATCCCAATTAGGTGTTACAATATGAGTGCTATTAGTCTAACGAAGAACCCCGTTCTTCACTCGCGGACTAAACACATAGAAATTAGGCATCACTTCATACGAGATCATGTCCAAAAGGGAGATGTCACAATTGAGTTTGTTGAAACGAAACATCAATTGGCGGACATTTTCACAAAACCCCTTAGTAGGGAGAGTTTCTTCCACATTCGGAATGAACTTGGCATTTTGGAAATCTCTATGAATTAAATCATTCTTTTTAATTACGGTACTAATTTGAGCGTCGGAGGCGCAATAATTCTTTTTTGCAGGGTATATTTTTTTCAGTGTTTCAGGGCATTTTTCGAATCTGGAACAGAGGGGATCGATCTCCACAATTGGATCGATCACCCAAACCGAAGCTTTTTCAAGTTAAACTTCGGCAGATCGATCCAAGCTCTAGGATCGATCCACTGGGCTTCTGATTTTTGCAGGTACCAGTCGGCAGATCGATCCAACCCAATGGACCAATCACCTGGGCAAATCTCTCAAATCTGAATTCAGCCCTACGTCAGGAGGACCGATCCAGGCTTATGGATCGATCCATGGTTTTAATTGGTTCCAGGATCTGATTCGGCGGATCGATCCAAGCACAAGGATCGATCACCTGGACTTAAACGACGTAGGTACTCTTTTTCGGAGGATCGGTCTCCTTGGATGGATCGATCACTTTGACTTACGGTATAAATACTCTCCCTTCTTCGTTTTTACCATTTTTCACTCGTTCTGTTATCTGCTCTGTCTCTCTCTTTCGGCGACCAAGGTTCCTCGATTCCCAAGTTTGTTTTTCGCCTCTTCCCTTCAATTTCTTCCAAATTATTTGTTAATTGTTGCAAATTGATGATTATTGTTGCTTATTTGCTCGTTTACTCGAGATTAAGTGCTTCTTCCTTTCTCTCTTAGGGTTTCTCGTTCTTCTCGTGCTCCAACCCTAGCCACCATGTCTGATCGTCGAGGCAGTAAACGTTTGCGCACAAAATCTCATGACGGTGAACCATCAACCCAAGAGGAACGATTTGTCTCTTCATTTGTCTTTCCGAGAGGTGATTCTAAACGCCTTTTCTATAATGATTTCTTGAATCGTCCTATTTTGACACCCAAATGCGTTCTTCATTCCGTATTTTGTCATCTACCATTCCAAGATGCCACAATTTTCATTGATAGACTTGGTGTTACTTCTTTTGTTCGTGAGAATTTTCCTGTGTATTGTCCGAATCTAATTCGGTTGTTGTATACAAATCTCACTTCCAACGGACGGGTCCTTAAAACCTCCGTTGATGGCACCGATATTGAGATGACTCTCAAGGATATCGGTGAACTTTTCAAATTTTCTTTTGAGGGTTGTGATTTCCACAAGTTTGAATCTAATGAATTCAAAACTTTTTCTTCTTACGACACCATTACCGAGGTGTGCCTTGAAGAAATTCTTGGGAGAGAACTTCTAACCGTTGGAGGTCTTAAGCCTCATTTTCGAATTCTCCATTACTTCATTTCGAAAGTATTAGCTCCTCGTAAGTCGAGCCATTCCAAAATACTTATTTCGGACACTCGTCTTCTCTTCGTGTTTTTGAACAATATTAAAATCAATTGGGCAAAATTCTTTTGCAATAACCTTATTCTCATGAAGTCAAAAGGGTCTCTTGGGTATGTGTTCCTGATCATGAACATTTTGAGAGCTTTTGGAGTGCCTTTAAAAGACATCCACGTCCAAAAGAACCACACGTGGTACATCGATGTCGCAACCTTCAACCGCTCTAATGTACCAAGGGCCGTGCAAGAAGAAGAAGGTGAAGAAGAAGGAGAAGAAGAAGAAGGAGAAGAAGAGGGTGAAGAAGAACATGACCCGGAGGGCGAACCGGCGCATGTCCAAGAAGTCGCTCAAGTGGAATCGACTCGGCGCTCCTCTACTACTCGGGTGTCACGCTCTACCTCATCGCGCCGCGCTGATCGTTCCATCCTTCAACGGATTTTAGATGCCGTGACTTGCACTCGCACGGATGTGGCGCATACTCGTATGGAAGTAACCATGCAAGGCCATCGTCTCTCACGGCTTGAGCAGCGGATGACGGAGATAGAGCGACGACCATATTTCGGACCGCGTCACAGTTACAGTGGTGGATCCCGGCCGTCGAGCTCACTTTGACTTCTCTCTCTCTCTCTCTCTCTCTCTTTATGTGATGACTTATGATACTTTTTTAAATGTT